TTTTTTCCTAGGAATTCTGGGATTTGCAGTATCCCAACGCAACCTGGCACACCATCCGTTAAGGAAGATGCTTCCAAACGACATAGAAACCCCATCGAGGTTAGGATGGGTAAATCATTCTTTTGAAGCCATTGAAAAGGTCAGGGTGGGTCAAGAGACCACTCCAGATGGTCTCATGGGGTCCCTGCCCCGTCCTTCTTTACATCCCCTTCCCCAACGCACCCCCCCCCCCGATTCCCTCCCAAACAAACAACTGGAAACACAATTTTCGTCCAAGAAGGAAGAAAAATAAAATAAAATAATAAAATAAAATAAAAAAGTAAAGTAAAGTAAAATAAAATAAAATAATAAAGTAATAAAATAAAATAAAATGATAAAATAAAATAATAAAATAAAGTAAAATAATAAAGTAATAAAATAAAATAATAAAATAAAATAAAAAAGTAAAGTACAGTAAAGTAATAAAATAAAATGATAAAATAAAGTAAAATAAAATAAAATAAAAAAGTACAGTACAGTGAAGTAAAGTAAAGTAAAGTAAAGTAATAAAATAAAATAAAATAAAATATAAAAATAAAAAAAGGGAATGGCAGGACATTTCCTACTCAAATGGAGGGAAGCATTATTTTTTCTAGGGAATTCAAGTAGTTCTCGAATTACAACCTCTCGTTTAGCGACCCTTTGAAGTTACGACCACCCTGAAAAGAAAAAAAAACAGACCGGTCCTCACACTTACGACCACCACAGCATTTCTCACAGTCCTTGATCACAAGTTTGGGCGCTGTATTTGTAACAGCTGCAGCATCCCAGGGTCCTGTGTGGCTGCCATTTGCCCAATTTGACAAGCAATCAACAACAACAGTGGGGGGGGGGGGGACGGGACGCCAGATCCACTTAAGGACCGGCATGATTCACTTAATAACGGCAGGACAACCGAGGCCCGAGAAAAGGGTTGTAACATCGAGCGCAACCCCCCTTGCCAAACTGCCTCGCTTAACAACAGAAATTCTTGTCCCAAGTCGGGTCGTAAGTGGAGGACTCCCTGTGTGTGTTGATGATGATGAGATGATGGAGGGTAAAAACCTGTCCATTAATCACACCAGTTTTCTGAGGAGGGAGGCAAAACGGATGGATATATGGGGGGGGGAGAGAAAAAGGATAACGGGAAAAGTGACAAGGCCATTTTGGGTTTTTTTTGGTGGGGGATCCCTAAATACATAAATGAAAGCAGAGGCCATAGCTACACTTTCAGGCGCGGGGGGGGGGGGGGGAGAAACAGAGAGGTGTTAACTGTAACAAGGCCTCATCAGGGCATCTCCTTTCTTGGGGGGGGGAGATCTGATTCCCCCCCATCAAAAGAGGGGAGTAAAAGAGGGAGGGGGTGTCCCCTTCAACTGCAGCCACAGGTGCCTGGAAGGGAGGAGCAGACTCCCAAAGGGGGGGGATGCAGGATAGAGAAGGGGAGGGCAGCTCCTTTCTTGGGGGGGGTCTGATTCCCCCTGCCAGTCAAGGGAGGGGGCTAGAAGGAGGAGGAGGTCCCCATCACCGCAGCCACAGGTGCCTTGTGGGGGCTGGGGGAAGAGGCAGAGCCCCAAGGGAAGGGATGGGGGGACAGAGAGGGGAGGGCAGCTTTCTGGAGGGAGGGGTCTGATTCCCCCCCAAATCAAAGGAGAAGTAAAAGGAGAAGGGTAACCCAGGTGCCCCTTTCTTGGGGGGGTGTCTCACCCCCCCAATGAAGGGAGGGGAGAAAAGGGGGGGTCCCCTCCACCGAAGCTACAGGTGCCTGGGGGGAGCCCCAAAGGTGGGAGAGACAGAATGGAGGCAGCTCCTTTCTTGGGGGGGGGATGTCTAATCCCTCCATCAAAGAGAGGAGAAAAGGGGGGGGCTAAAAGGAGAAGGGGGTCCCCACCACTGCAGCCACAGGTGCTCCTTTCTGGGGGGTGGGGTGCCTGATTTCCCCCTAAATCAAGGATGAAAATGTGGGCGTAAAAGGAGGGGTTCCACAGGTGCCTGGAGGGAGGGGCTGAGTCCCAAAGAGAGGGATGGGGGGGCAGTGAGAGAGGGCAGCTCCTTTCTTTTCTTGAGGAGGGGTCTCATACCCTCCCTAAATCAAGGGAGGGGAACAAAGGGAGAAGGGGGTCCCCTCCACCACAGCCACAGTTACCCCTTTTCTTGGGGGTCTGGTCCCCCAATGAAGGGAGGGGGAAAAGGGGGCTGAAAGGAGAAGTGGGTCCCCTCCACCGCACCCCCAGGTGCCCCTTTCTGGGGGGGGGTTCTGATTCCCTCCCAAATCAAGGGAGGGGAGAAAAGGGGGGGCTGAAAGGAGGGGATCTACAGGTGCCTGGGGGGGGACAGAGAGGGTGGAGGCAGCCCCTTTCTTGGGGGGGTCTGATCCCTCCATCAAAGGAGAAAAGTGGGGCTAAAAGGATCTGATCCCAAATCAAGGAGGGGAGAAAAGAGGGGGTTGAAAGGAGGATCCACAGATGCCTGAGGAGGCAGAGCCCCAAAGGGAGGATTGGGGGGGACAGAGAGGGAGGGCAGCTCCTTTCTTGGAGGAGGTCTGATCCCCTAAATCAAGGAGGGGAAAAAGGGGGGGCTGAAAGAGGATCCACGCCTGGAGGGAGCTGCCCCAAAGGGGATTGGGGGACAGAGAGGGGGCACTCCTTTCCTGGAGGAGGGGTCGATCCCCCCCAGCCAAGGGAGGGGAGAAAAGAGGGGGAGCTGAAAGAGGGATCCACAGTGCCGGGGAGGGAGGGGCGGGGGGGAGACCAAGGCCACTCACCCCATGGTGGTCGCCGCATCTGGCCCCCCATGGCGCGAGGGAGCCCGGAGGCCTTGGGGGCCAAGCCACGCAGCACCGGCTCCGAAAGCCCGAGTCCCCGCCGCTCGATACGCCTCCTCAAAGGCCGGGGAGCCGGCGAGGGGGTCTCTCGGCCGGCCGGGAGGAAGGGAGCGGGCGGGCGGAGGCCGCGGAACCTTCGCGGCGGCTACAAATGTATCCAGCCCAAAGGAAACACCCTGCCCCACGTGACCCGGGCGCCTGCTGGGAAAGCCCCGCCCCGCCGCTCTGGCCGCGCCCACCACGCCAATCGCACAGGCGGAGGGGCGGGGCGCCAGTTTAAAAGGGAAACAGCAATACTGGTAGTAATAGTAAATAGTAATAAATTAATAATAATAATAATAATAATAATAATAATAATAATAATAATAATAATAATGCACAATACATAATAATCATAATACATAATAATAATCATAACCATAACCATTATGATACTAATCATAATCATAACCATAATAATCATAATAAAAATAAAAATAATAAAAATAATACGAAATCCAGCATGGTCATCTCGTTTGCTGTGTATACTGTCGTCATCATCATCAAAATAATAATAAAAATAATAGTAATAGTAATAATTTTATTTTTAATGTTTTAATGTTTAATGAATAAAAGAGATAATAACTAGGCAGCAACCCGTATCAACTATTAGCCCCAGTCAAAGGTATTTGTGATGCATTTTCGAATGTTCAGTTGACTTGAGTTTCAGTTTTAATGAATAAAAGAGAATAATAAGGTACTTGGTTGATACCTAGGATGCTGGCAGCAACCCATATCAGCCATTAGCACCAGTCAATGGTATTTGTGATGCATTTTCGAATGTTCAGTTGACTGAGTTTCACGTTTAATGAACAAAGTAAATAATAATGTCAGTGATATCTGTGATACATTTTTAAATGTTCACTTGACTTTCATTTTTAATGAATAATAGTGATGATGATGATAATACTACATTTTTAAATGTTCAGTTGACTGAGTTTCATGTTTGGTGAATAAAAGTAATAAAAGAATATAGTGCAATATCGAGTTTTCAATTTCAATTATATAGAATGTAAAGGATGTATGTTTGTGTTTTTATTTTTATAGTTATAATGTACATTGAAGACAGCATTTAATTTCATTGCACCATATGCAATGACAATAAACTAAACTAAACTAAAAATTTATAATAATAATAATAATCGCAGACAGCTACAGGTTCAGACAACAACCTAGATCCGAGTCAGCAGGGTCGGGGGAATGACTTCCCGCAGGAAGCTGCTCCAAAACGAGTCCCGGTTTGCAAGCCGGTTTTAGGAAGCTCATGGGAACGCGGCTCCAGAGTTGCATGCAGGCACCGAGCCCGGGAACGGCGTGCATGCAACAGGCCGAGCGCCGAGTTAAAAGATTTTCCCATTTTCACGTATTGTGTGAATGCGGCTTTTTAGAGTTCGTAGTCAGGTTGATCCTGGGATGGCTCGCTTTTCAACCTGTCTCTCTCTCTCTCTCCCTGGGCGTATGGATGCTTTTTTTTGGAGGTCTTTACGAAGGGTTGGACTAGAAGACCTCCAAGGTCCCTTCCGGCTCTATTCTGATGGGTTTTCAAGAAGAGATGGGACAGCCACTTGTCTGAAATGGTAGAGGGACTCCTGCTTGAGCAGGAGGCTGGACTAGAAGACCTCCAAGGTCCCTTCCAGCTCTGATTGATTGACAGTGAGAACAATGAACCAGTGGAAGAGCCTTTCTTTCTTTTCATTTTTTTCCATTCTGCAGTCAGACGAAGCGTCCTGTGCGACCTGCAAGCTTGCTGCGTTTTTCACACACAAACACCCTTCTTGCAGCCTGCAAGGCCATTCTTGCAACGTTTAGCAACTTCTCTGGATAGCTGCCTGCCCAGCCTCCCGCTTGGCACCTGTCCAGAAATAAATCCATATATTATCAATGATATACCACATATATAGACCCCAAAACACCTGGAAACTACCCACATCCGGGTCTCCCTGCTTGGGGGACGTACACGACTTCCGCTTTGCTTCCAGGCCCTTCCGGGCGACCTCTCTATGGTACGCCCTCCCCCTCTGATTCTACAAACGGCCTCGCCGCGACATGGCGGTGATGTTGGGCCTCCAGAAACCGGAAGTCGGACTCCACGGATAACGGAAACAGAGGTTCCGCTTGCCGGAAGTAGTTTCGGCCAATGCCGGAAGAGAAGGCCCCGGCAAACGGCGAGAGCCTAAGATGGCGGAGGTGGTGAGTGCGGAGGGGAGGGAAAGGTAGAGGAGCCCGTCGGCCTCGAGTTGCCCGCTTAATTTCTCCTCTTTTTTATTTTTATTTTGCAGGAGGAAGTGACCGAAGGGTGTAACCTCCCCGTGTTGCGCCGTAACCAAGAAAACGAGGACGAGTGGCGTGAGTTAACGGGGGAGGGAGAGGCGGGGCTTAAGGAGAGGGAGGCGTGGTTTGAGGAGAAGTGGGCGGTGCCTGAGGAGAAGTGGGCGGGGCCACGTGAAATGATCAATGGAGACTGCAAGTCCCATTCAGACCTTGTTGGTGGAAGAGTTTAAAGTGGGGAGGGGGAGTTGGTGGGCAAGGGGGGGGTTACAGGCAAAAAAGTGGGGGGCTCCCCCCATGGAGGAGACTCTCCCTGAAGGGGTCCCCAAGATTAGGACTTGGGATAAGAAAAAAAAATTTTTTTAATTTAAATACGTTTAACTATATTTTATCTTTTAAAAAATTTATTTACTTATTTATGTATTTAAGTATATTATTTTTATTTAAATATATTTTATTTTTTAAAATTTTATTTATTTAAATATTTATTTATTTAAATATATTTAAATATATTTTACCCTTTAAAAATGTATTTATTTATTTATTTTTAAAAATATATTATTTTTATTTAAATATATTTTATTTATTTAAATATTTATGTATTTAAATATATTTAAACATTTTAGCCTTCAAAAATTTATTTATTTATTTATTTGAAATATATTATTTTTATTTAAATATATTTTATTTATTTAAATATTTATTTGTTTAAATATGTTTAAATATATTTTATCCTTTAAAAATTTATTTATTTTTAAAAATACATTATTTTTATTTAAATATATTTTATTTTTTAAAAGTTTATTCATTTAAACATTTATTTATTTAAATATATTTAAATATATATTATCCTTTATTAATATATATATATATAACGGCTACAAGGATAACAGAAGAGTTGGAAGGGTCCCGTAGGTCATCTAGTCCAACCCGCACCCCCTCCCCCCCAGACCAAGCAGGAAAGCCTACCCCATTTCTGACAGATGGCAGGTGACCCAGTCTCTTCTTGAAAGCTTCAGTGACCATTTTAAATCTGATTTTTTTTTCTCTCTCTCTCTCTGCCTCATTTTTTTTTTCAGGCTTATCACTGTAGCACATTATTCGGTTCTAATTAAGTCAAATTTACCTCTTTGAGCCTGAACTCTTCCTATCCTGGTGGTAGAAAGTGTTTTCTGGGGGGAAAAAATCGGAATTTTTGTGAGCCTTGGGGAAACTGGCCAGTCTTTGTTTTCTCCTGAAATAATCTGCTTTTTCTTTTCACAGCGCTGGCTGAAATCCTGAGTGTCAAAGACATCAGTGGCCGAAAACTTTTCTATGTTCACTATATTGATTGTGAGTAAACGAGGTGGAACTATTGGATGGTTAGGAAGGAAAATATTGTCCCGGGCTTTTCTGGAAGGAGATTATGAAAACTGGGAGCTGGTTGGGCGAGTGGGGGTGAGTGGAAGGCCGCTACAATCCTATCTGGACCACTTATGGAACTGAAGTCAAGATAATTTACGACTACAGGTTGTCCTCGTCTTACGACCGTTCATTTAGTGACCATTCGAAGTTACGACAGCACTGAAAAAAAGTGACTCATGACCGTTTTTCGCACTTACGACCCTTTGCAGTATCCCCCATGGTCACGTGATCAAAATTCAGACGCTTGATTCGTATTTATGACGGTTGTGGTGTCATTTGACCCGTCGCGGCCATCTGATGAGCAAAAGTCGATGGGCTTTAATTCGCTTAACGATCGGCTTCCTACCTTAACAAACGGGGTGATTCACTTAACAAGTGTTGGCAAGAAAGGTTGTAAAATGGGGCAAAATTCACTTAGCTGTCTCACTTAGCGACGTAAATTTTAGGCTCAGTTGCGGTCGTAAATTGAGGACAACCTGGATAACCCAGGGATTGAAAATGTTGGCTTGTTATCAATGCCAGTTAAAACATCTCAGTTCTGGTGCCCAACTCAGTTTTTCCCAGTGATCCCTTCCCCAGACATTTGGAGTGCTAGGGGTGTGTATCTTGGGTTCTTTCACCTTGCTCTGTTCTGGCTGTGTCTTGTCTGTGTTTTTAAGAAAATAAAACAATGAAGAGTAAGGCTTCTATGAGAAGTGCAGAAAAGATTGGAGAATGGAAAGGAAGAAAAGCAAAATCTTTGCGAATGTCTTGCTGGAGCTTTTATTGTCGAAATTGGATTTTTAGACTTTCTAGATTTTTTTTATTATTTTTTATTTTATTTTATTATTATAGATATATCACTCAGCATCTCCTGATTGGCCCAAAGTCACCCAGCCGGCTTTCACGCCTAAGGCCAGACTAGAACTCCCAGTCTCCTGGTGATTCGCCCAAACTCATACAGCTGGCTTTCACACCTAAGGCTGGACTAGAACTCCCAGTCTCCTGGTGATTCGCCCAAACTCACCCAGCCGGCTTTCACACCTAAGGCTGGACTAGAACTCCCAGTCTCCTGGTGATTGGCCCAAAGTCAATCCCAGCCGGTTTTCACGCCTAAGGCCAGACTAGAACTCCTAGTCTCCTGGTGATTCACCCAAACTCACCCAGCCGGCTTTCACACCTAAGGCTGGACTAGAACTCCCAGTCTCCTAGTGATTGGCCGAAACTCATCCAGCCGGCTTTCATGCCTAAGGCCAGACTAGAACTCCCAGTCTCCTGGTGATTGGCCCAAAGTCACCCAAATGGTTTTCATGCCTAAGGCTGGACTAGGACTCCCAGTCTTCTGGTGATTCGCCCAAACTCACCCAGCCGGCTTTCATACCTAATGCAGAACTAGAATTCACTGTCTCCTGGTTCCTAGGCTGGTGTCTTAACCCCTTAGAGACCAAACTGGCTCTCTCCCTCCCCTTCCTCATTTAATCCCTGTGCCTTTTCCTTAAAAAAAAACAAACACTCTGTCTTTGCCGTAACCTTACAGTCAACAAGCGTCTGGACGAATGGGTCACTCACGACCGGCTGGATTTAAAGAAGATCCAATTCCCCAAGAAAGAAGCCAAGACGCCCACCAAGAACGGGCTGCCAGGATCCCGGCCCAGCTCTCCGGAACGTGACGTGGTAGGGAGGCGCGTGGCTTCGGGGAAAGGCGAAGCATTCACGAGAATGTTTCGTTTGTGGGAGGAGAGTCCTAGCCATCTCGGAGGGAGGGGTTACCGAAATTCCAGCCCAGGCTATAACAAAACCCAGGTGTTTCGGAAGTTTCTACGGCGTTAAGGACGGGGAGGGGCGGGGAGTTTGAGAGCATTGATGGTTTCATTCTGCTTCGTCTCCCCCGCCGAGATCTCTGCCTGCAGCTTGGCCTGGAGACAGGGGTCTCCCCCGTACGTTTTCCCTGCCACCCACCTCCCCACCCCGAGCAGGAACTGGCGTCCTTTCCTCTCCCTCCACATGTTGGTAATGCCCGCCTTCCTCTCTATTCAGAGGAAGACCTTGGATCTACAGCCAGCCACTCCATCCAGCGGTAAAACCCTACCTATCCCGGTGCAGATAACCCTTCGTTTTAACCTATCTAAAGAGAGGGAGGCCATCCCTGGCTCGCCCGACCAACCCCTCTCCTCCAGCTCCTGCGTCCAGCCAAACCATCGTTCAACGGTACAAAACTGGCACTCGGCCGCCACGGCTCGTTCCTTTGATGTCTCGTTTTGCTCGTTTGCCCATTTCTCAAGAGGCCGCACCAGCTGGGGGGGGGTTGAGTTAGGTCTGGGCTAGCGAGGGAGACCTCCGGGGGTGGGGTGGGGGGGGTTGTATGTGTGAATGAGTGCATGCGTGCCCAGGGGCATTGTAGGTCCTTCCAGGGCTCCCCCACTTCCCTCCTGAGTCGAGCCAGGACAAGGCAAACGATGTCCCATCCCAGAACAGAAGGGAAAAAAAGACATTTAAGAGACCAGATCTAGCTAGGTTTGATACCGTGTTTCTCCAAAAATAAGCCCTCCCCAAAAATATTTAAACGTATGCGCAGCTGGTCTCTGCCAGTTCATCTGGTTAGGGTTAGGGAGACAGAGCTGGAAATCGGGTAAGACGGCAAGAGGAGCCCCGTCTTGCTCCACGTGCCCCAAAATAATAAGACCGCCCCGAAAATAAGGCCAAGCGCTTATTTCGGGGTTCAAAAAAATAAATAAAATAAGACAGGGTCTTATTTTTGGGGAAACACGGTATGAAGTTTAAACCACCGATAAAAAGGGTTAGCCGTTCTATTATCTTTAAGCCACCGATTGAATTGCGTTACGCTTTGCTACAGGTAGTCCTCGACTTAAAAAGACCACGATTTCCGAAATTTCTCTGGCTAAGCGAGACGGTGGTTAAGTGATGTTCTGCCCCCATTTTGGTGCCGTCGTAAACTTCCGAACGGTCACTTAAAGTGAATGGTTGTAAGTCGGGGACCTATCTGTATGAAGTTTCAGGCAGGAATGGCATGGGCTTTTGACACGGAATTGAAGAATTGGCGGTCATAAACTGTTGGTGGCGCGGTGGTCAGAATGCAGTATGGCAGGCTCACTCTGCCCGACTGCCAGCAGTTCGATCCTGAACCGGCTCAAGCTTGATTCGGCCTTCTGTCTTTCCAAGGTCGGTAAAATGAGGAGCCAGATTGTTGGGGCAACAGGCTGACTTTGTAAATCACTTAGAGGGGGCTATAAAGCACTGTGAAGCGGTATATAAGTGCTATTCCTGTTGTTATTCTATTCTATTCTGTTCTATATTCTATTCTACTCTAATTTTTTCTTATTCTATTCTGAATTCTATTCCATTCTAATTTTATTTCTATTCTATTCTATTCTATTCTATTCTATTCTATTCTATTCTATTCTATTCTATTCTATTCTATTCTATTCTATTCTACTCTACTCTACTCTACTCTACTCTACTCTACTCTATCTATCCTCTATTCACTACTATTCTATTGAATTCTATTCTATTCTCTATTCTCCTATTTTATTCTATTGAATTTTGTTTGATTTTATTCTATTCTTTTCTATTCTATTGAATTCTATTCTATTCTATTCTATTCTATTCTCTATTCAGTAGTCTATTCTATTGCAATCTATTGCAATCTATTCTATTCTATTCTATTTTATTCTTTTCTCTATTCAGTATTCTATTAAATTCTATTCTATTCTCTATTCTATTCTATTGAATTCTATTCTATTCTATTCTTTTCTCTATTCAGTAGTCTATTGAATTCTATTGCATTCTATTCTATTCTATTCACTTCTATTCTATTCTATTCTCTATTCACTTCTATTCTATTCTATTGAATTATATTCTATTCTCTATTCACTTCTATTCTATTCTATTGAATTTATTCTATTCTATTTTATTCTTTTCTCTATTCAGTATTCTATTAAGCTCTATTCTATTGAATTCTATTGAATTCTACTCTACTCTACTCTACTCTACTCTACTCTACTCTACTCTACTCTACTCTACTCTATTCTATTCTATTCTATTCTATTCTATTCTATTCTATTCTATTCTAGTGTTTTTCCATTTTATGCTGAAAACCCTATTTAGTCCAGTTTGAAACCGGTTTAACTAAAGAGATTGATTCTGTGACCCCCTTCTCAGTTGTGGCCGCTCTCCGGCTGCCACTGAGCCAATCGCACACCTTCCTTGCACAATTGTCGTGTGAAAAATCTAAGGCGGAAGAAGCCATAACCAAACTTCTATAGGCGATGGGGTCATATAAGAGGCAGGGAAGACCCAACTTTTCATCCCTTCTCAGCCCCAGAGCAGAGTTTGAGTCAGTCCTTTCCCTTCGCAGCCCACCAATCAGGGCGGTTCGACGGGGAAGGGAAGCTGCGCTAAGAGACAGGAGACCCGGATTCGAATCCTGCCCCAAAGCTCCCTGAATGACTCGGATCCAGTCTCACGTTCTTATCCCAAACTGCTTCCCGGTGTTATGGAGGAATCTGGGACTCCCAAATGCTATTTGTGTACCTTTTAAGTTGCCCAAAAGAAAATTAATCACGCAGGCCAAGATCCCTCAAGGCCTCGAACCAACATTGCAATCCCCATCACTCTTCCTGGTGGGGTTCAGGAAGGAAAGCCACGCCATTCTTCCGAAGTGGGCTTTGTATCCCCTTTATTTCTCCAACCGAAGCCTCTGTAAAGGGCCTCTGGGCCTTGTTTTGTAGAAGGAGACAGGTTTTACAGGTAGTCCTCGACTTACGACCACAGCTGAGCTAAAGCGTTGAGTGAATCTTGCCCCCATTTTTACCACTCGGCTTACCGCGGTTGTTAAAGCGAGTCTCTGCCGCTTCTTAAGTGAGTCACACCATTGTTAAGTGAATTTGGCTTCCCCACTGACTTTGTCAGAAGGCCGCAAAAAGGGATCGTGTGACATGCGCACCCACACAGAGAGACACTGCGATCATCCTAAATATGAGTCAGTTGCTAAGCGTCCCCGAATTTTGATCGCGTGACCACGGGGAGGGTGCGACGGTCATAACTGCGAAAAACTTAACTCGCTGTTTTCAGCGCCGTTGTGACTTCGAGCGGCCACTAAGTGAAGTGTTGTAAGTCAAGGACTGCCTGTATTCTGTGTAAAGCAGCTTTCCTAAGCTACGCCCGATCGATCAAAGTTGTGGTTGTACAAGGATGGGTTTTCTAACAGGTGGGCCAGGGTAGCATCAGAGGCCCATCCCTCTTCCTGAGGCGTTAGATCAATCTTTCTTAACCTCAGAGACTTAAAAGATGGGTGGACTTCAACTCCCAGAATCCCCCAGCCAGCTTGATTTAAGATGGGTGGACTTCAACTCCCAGAATTCCCCAGCCAGTTTGATTTAAAGATAGGTGGACTTCAACTCCCAGAATTCCCCAGCCAGCTTATTTTAAGATGGGTGGACTTCAACTCCCAGAATCCCCCAGCCAGCATATTTTAAGATGGGTGGACTTCAACTCCCAGAATCCCCCAGCCAGCTTGATTTAAGGGGTGAACTTCTACTCCCAGAATTCCCCAGCCAGCATATTTTAAGATGGGTGGACTTCAACTCCCAGAATTCCCCAGCCAGCTTGATTTAAGATGGGTGGACTTCAACTCCCAGAATCCCCCAGCCAGCTTGATTTAAGATGGGTGGACTTCAACTCCCAGAATTCCCCAGCCAGCTTGATTTAAGGGGTGAACTTCTACTCCCAGAATTCCCCAGCCAGCATATTTTAAGATGGGTGGACTTCAACTCCCAGAATTCCCCAGCCAACGTGACTGAGGAATTCTGGGAGTTGAAATCCCCCCACCTAAAAATACGCTGGCTGGGGAATTCTGGGAGTTGAAGTCCACCAGTCTCTTAAAAGTTGAGAAACCCTGCTCCAGAGAGCGCCAGCCAGTCAGAGGCCTCCTATGATCCCTCTTCTCATCCCCAACTTCATTCCCCTGGACAGTAGTCGCAGAGGCTCCGGCTGGCCGACTTCTCTCACCAAACCCAGGCCGAGTCTCCCCATCTTTTGCGATGCTGGTGGAAAATTGGGGAGGGGAAGAAGAGTGGAGGAGGAAGAGGAGGCAGGCCGCTCCCTAGAATGTGTTTGCTTTGGTCTCTTCCAGAAACGGAAGGTGGAGGTGGTCTCTCCCGCAACCCCCATCCCTGCTGTCAGTGAGACAACGCAGGCCTCGGTTTTTCCCCAGGTAAGTGCACGAAAAGGGAATACAGGTGCGACTTAACAACTACGATTGAGCCCAAAGCTTTTGTGGCTCAGTGAGTTTGGCCCTACTTTACCGCCTTTCTATGCCGCCGTCGTTAAGCGAATCGCTTGCGGTTGTTAAGTGAGCAACACGGTTGCTGAGTGAATCCGGCTTCCCCATTGACTTTGCTCGTCAGAAGGTCGTAAAAAGGGGATCGCGTGACATTCTCCCACCACACCCCACACCCCCGGGGACACTGCAGCCGTCATAAATATGAACCAGTGGACAAGTGTCTGAATTTTGTTCATGTGATTCTGGGGAAATGCTGCCACGGTCGTAAGTGTGAAAAACGGTCACCAGTCACTTTTTTTCAGCGCCGTCGTAACTTTGAACGGTCAGTGAACTGTCCCAATGGGGTGCCCTCCAGACGCATCGGTGCCGGCCACGACTGCGGTATTCTAGCCTGCCCAATATCGAAGATGTCCACAGGGGAAAAGCTGAGCCAAAGGACACCTCTGCTCCTCCCAAGAGGTCCTTTGTAAGCTGTTTGGTTGGACAGCTGCACCTTCTGGGGATCTTCTGGCCTTCAACGCCATTTCTGACCCTATCGGAGCTGAAGGAAGACCCCAAAATGTTCCCATTCAGGTGCCTCCTTGCCTCCTCGCCTCCTCCTGCAGTCATCTCAATCCCCCTGTTCATTTCTTTTAGTAACCGGTCAAAGTTATCACGACACTGAGAAACGTGACTTATGACCATTTTTCACACTTATGACCATTGCAGCGGTCATGTGTTACGTGATTTACATTCAGATCCTTGACCGCTGACTCACAATTGTGACGGTTGCAATTGTCCCGGAGTGATGTGATCAGTGGTGAAATTCAAATTTTTTTACTACCGGTTCTGTGGGCGTGGCTTGGTGGGCGTGGCAGGGGAAGGATACTGCAAAATCCCCATTCCCTCCCCACTCCTGGGGGAAGGATATTGCAAGATCCCCATTCCCTCCCCACTCCTGGGGGAAGGATATTGCAAAATCCCCATTCCCTCCCCACTCCTGGGGGAAGGATATTGCAAAATCCCCATTCCCTCCCCACTCCTGGAGGAAGGATACTGCAAAATCCCCATTCCCTCCCCACTCCTGGGGGAAGGATACTGCAAAATCCCCATTCCCTCCCCACTCCTGGGGTAGGATACTGCAAAATCCCCATTCCCTCCCCACTCCTGAGGGAAGGATACTGCAAAATCTCCATTCTCACCCCACTCTGGGGCCAGCCAGAGGTGGTATTTGCCAGTTCGCCGAACTACTCAAAATGTCCACTGCCGGTTCTCCAGAACCTGCTGGATTTCACTCCTGGATGTGATCCTCATTTGCGACCTGACAAGCAAAAATCAACGGGGACGCCAGATTCCCATGTGACTCGCTTTACAACGGCAGCGATTCATTAAACAGCGGTGGCGAGAAAGGTTGCAAAATGGGAGAAAGCTCACTTAGCAAACGTCTCGCTTAGCAACGGAAAGTTTGGGCTCGATTGTGGCCGTAAGTCGAGGACTTCTTGTAATGCCCTCTTTTGTCCCCTTCTCTTTTCCAGAATGGCTCCGCTCGCCGAGCCGTGGCTGCCCAGCCGGGCCGGAAGAGAAAATCCAACTGTCTTGGGACAGATGAGGTACATATCCGGGCTGGGAAATCGGTGGCGCCCATCTCTGGTGCCGTTTCGGAGGGGAGCACACCTGGCTGCTTCTCCCATCCCGAACGGACCCCCTTTTTGATTCTCGCAAGCAGGATTCCCAGGACAGCTCGGACGGGATCCCGTCGGCGCCCCGCATGACGGGCAGCTTGGTCTCGGACCGCAGCCACGATGACATCGTCACGCGCATGAAAAACATCGAATGCATCGAACTCGGGCGCCACCGCCTGAAACCCTGGTACTTCTCGCCCTACCCTCAGGAGCTCACCGCCCTCCCTGTCGTCTACCTCTGCGAATTCTGCCTTAAGTATGTCAAGAGCCTCAAATGCCTCCAGAGGCACTTGGTAAGGGGTCCTTCTTTCCTCCATCTCTCCCCCCCCCCCCCCCCCCCCCGCCCCTCTCTCCCAATCTAGACTTGGATCAAAGTTGTTCTGATCCCGTCTTACCGTATTTTTTGGAGTATAAGACGCACTCCCCCCCCCCATCTAAAAGAGGGTAGAAATTTGGGTGCGTCTTATATACCGAATGTAGCCAAAAATGCGAGACATGGAGGCGGCGAGGGTCTGTGGCAATCCCTGCAGCCTGGAACAGCTGATTGGGGGTATTCCGGGAGGTCGATCCACCCGCCAATCAGCTGCTCGTGCTGAATCAGGCTGCAATAATGTGCTGAAGCTGACCTGGCTGTTTGCTATTTGCTGCAAGGGCGTGTCAGAGTTTGCAGCAGCAATCACATCCAGAAAGCAGGATTCAATAACTTCTCTTTATATATAATATAACACATGAAGTAAATATACAATACCAAAAGCAGGTTTTCCAACGTGGTAGTAAATACAACCAAAAGCACAAGCAGAGGAGAGGAGTTTCACTTTTAGTTTCAGAGATCAGCACAGCATGCAACTTTAGAACAGTTGAGCTAAGCCACGCCCAGGCTCCTTGCTGCCTCCTTCCTTGTTGCTCACACAGCAAATATTGTTTCAGTTTCCAAACAGCCCTCAACTCTCTCACACACTGACAGGATGCTGGTAGGCAGAGGCAGAATTTTTTTTTCTTATTTTCCTGCCCACAAACTGAGGTGCATTTTATACTCTGGAACGTCTTATTATCTGAAAAATACGGTATGTCCTTCCTTTATTTACAACACTCCGAAATCAGCTAGAGCATAGTAATAGCCCTTAGACTTATATGCCGCTTTACAGCTGTCTCTAAGCAATTTACAGAGTCAGCCTCTTGTCCCCAGCAATCTGGGTCCTCATTTTACCAACCTTTGGAAGGACGGAAGGCTGAGTCAACCATGAGCCGGTCAGAATCGAACTCCTGGCAGTGGGCAGAATTAGCGTGCAATATTGCATTCTAACCACTGCGCCACCAATGGCTCATCCATTCTCCCATCGTCCACAGCCTATCCTGCTGCTCTTTTCAGGCAACAATTCTGTCTGTCTTGTCTCTTAGTTCTGATTTCAGTGTAGTTTTTAAAAATCATCTTCTCCGTAGTTTTAATGCTTTAATCTTTATATTTAATTTAAAATCTTCACCTCCGCACTTTTAATGTTTTATTCTTTCTCCTGTTTAACTTAAAATAGTTTTAGTGTTCTAATCATTCTTCTTATTTAACTTAATTTCTTCATTTTAATCTTTCTTCTATTCAACTTAAAATCTTCGTGTCTGTAATTTTAGTGTTTTAATCTTGCTTCTATTCAACTTAAAATCTTCATTTCTGCAGTTTTGATGTTTTAATCTTCTATTCAACTTAAAATCTTCATCTCTGCAGTTTTGATGTTTTAATCTTCTATTCAACTTAAAATCTTCATTTCTGCAGTTTTGATGTTTTAATCTTCTATTCAACTTAAAATCTTCATCTCTGCAGTTTTACTGTTTTAATCTTCTATCTAACTTAAAATCTTCATATCTGTAGTTTTAATATTTTAATCATTCTTCTCCTTGTTTTCTAACTTTAAGCTGTCCAGAGTCGCCTTATAGGGTAGATGTGCGGCATAAAAACTTAATGAATAAATATACTGCTCAAAAAAATAAAGGGAAGACAAGCAGAAGACATCCGAGATCTGAAAGAATGAAATAGCCTTATAAATACTTTGTTCTTTACAATACAGTAGTTTATACGCTGCTCAAACAACTAAAGGGAACACAAAACTACTGTATGTAACGAACAAAGTATTTAATCAGGCTATTTCATTCATTCAGATCTCGGATGTCTTCTGCTTGTATTTTTTTGAGCAGTGTATATTCAGGTTAAATTCTTGATTTAACAACCATTTTTCTTTGTAAGAAACACACCCAATTCTGTGGTTTCCTTCTCTGCAGATGAAGTGTGACTTGAGGCACCCGCCGGGCAACGAAATCTACCGCAAAGGAACCATTTCCTTCTTTGAGATCGACGGCCGGAAGAACAAGGCAAGAAAAATGCCCTTAGTGCTACATCTGGAATCCACCTGGTGCATTGGGACTACATTTCCCAGAGTTCCTTGCGGATCCACTGATGCGAGAATTCTGTTCTCACCCATGGGAAACATGCTATTTATATTAAGTTATTCACTTAATTTTCTCGCTTAGCAACGGAAATTTGCAGCTCAATCGTGGTCGTAAATCAGGGATAACGTGTAGTCCTCAATTTACAGGTACAGGCAGTCCTCAACCTATGACCACCATTGAGGCCAAAATTTCTGTCTCTAAATGAGACTGTTGTTAAGTGAATTTTGCCCATTTTTTGCTCCTTTCTTGCTACCGTTGTTAAGTGAGTAACCTGGTTGTTAACTGAATTCGGCTTCCCCCATTGACTTTGCTTGTCAGAAGGTCCGTGACCCTGGGACACAGCGACTATCATTAATACGAGTCAGTTGCCAAGCATCCAAATTTTAATCACGTCGATCATGAGGATGCTACACATATGAAACTCAGTCGTCATTTACTTTTTTCAATGTCGTCGTAACTAACAAATGGTCGCTAAACGAACTGTTCATAATTCGAGGACTCCCTGTACCGTTGTCCCCATCGGCAGGCAAGTTCTCGACGCCCCGAATGAACTGATTAATCCTAACAGTGTATTCATCCTGTGTCCCTTTTTTGTTCTTTCCTTTTCCTCTTCCAGAGTTATTCGCAAAACCTTTGTCTTCTGGCGAAATGCTTCCTCGATCACAAGACCCTCTACTACGACACGGATCCCTTCCTCTTCTACGTCATGACCGAATACGACAGCAAAGGCTTTCACATCGTCGGCTATTTCTCCAAGGTGAGTCTCCGCTCGATTAAAAAAAAAAAATCTGTTTTTCTGTTCTCTGTGTTTGGAGAGCCAGGGGATCAGCGTGCAATGTCTTAAGCAGTGTCTTAAGTCCCGGCAAATCTCTTTAATTCATATGGCTTTGAATTCCCTTCATTTACAGTCCGCAAAACTTGATAAAAGAGTCTTTCAGAGGAAGGTTATCAACACCCACCTTATCTCACGTGGAACGCTGCCAGAGAGCTAATTTCCAGACGCAGGGCAAGGCCAAACTTGGCACAGAGTCACAAACAGAATTTCTAAATCTTGAATCGGCCGGATGAACTCATTGCTTCCTGCAAAAGCACACACCCCTTTCACTTCTCTTTTATGCCTTATGGGAGGGGCCAATCATCTCCAAGCCTTACTCCCAAGTTGACCCTGTTTCCTTAATTGTTCCTATCTCCTGGCAGCTCTGTGCATGCACACACTGGGAACAGGCTCCCGCTGCTCTTCTGCCTTGCTGATGTCAGACTCTGGAGATTCCAGAGGCAGCAAATTACTACCAGATGGCCTTGGCTCCCTCTCTGCCTCCGACTCAGAGCCCTCGTCCGAGCTTTCCCCAGCCCCCAGGACTGGCCCATGTTCCTCCCCAACCTCCTCACTGTCCGAATCTGCTGCCAGCTCTGCTGGTGGGCCACAAGAGGTCTTCTAGTCCAACCCTCTGCTCAAGGCAAGACCCTGTATCGAATAGTTTGTCCAGTCTCTTCTTCAAAACCTCCAGTGAAGCAGCACCCACAACTTCTGGTGGCAAGCTGTTCCACTGGTTAATGGTTCTCACTGTCAGGAAGTTTCTCCTTAGTTCTAGCTTGCTTCTCTCCTTGGTTAGCTTCCATCCACCTAGTCAGCTATCATGGCTAAGGCCAGGACTAGAACTCACCGTCTCCTGGTGATTGAGCCGAAGTCATCCAGCTGCCTCTTTTTTTTTTTTTTCCTAAGCTAGGACTAGAAGTCACTGTCCCCCGGTTTCTAATGTGGCACCTTCACCACTAGACCAGTGGTGAAATTCAAATTTTTTTTACTACTGGTTCTGTGGGCGTGGCTTGGTGGGCATCGCTTGATGGGCGTGGCAGGGGAAGGATAGCGCAAAATCCCCATTCCCTCCCCACTCCAGGGGAAGGATACTGTGAAATCCCCATTCCCTCCCCACTCCAGGGGAAGGATACTGCAAAATCCCCCTTCCCTTTCACTCCTGGCGGAAGGCTATTGCAACATCTCCTTTCTCACCCTGCTCGTGGGCCAGCCAGAGGTGGTATTTGCCGGTTCTCCAAACGGCTCAAAATTTCCAGAACCTGTCAGAACCTGCTGAATTTCACCCCTGCACTAAACTAAACTGGCCAATTCGATTCTTGTTTGAAACTCTTTATATTCAAATTCCAACCTTTATTGTCACAGTACAATATGTGCACAAGGAGATTGGCTGAGCCTCCCTTTGTGCACCCCCCCCAACACAACACAACTCACAGCGGAAGACAAAAATCCCTAGCCCAGTGAATCCTACTAACAAACAAACACCATGTGAATTTACTGCACGTCGCACCGGCCCCGCAAGTCAATCGTACTACCCTGTTCCCCCGAAAATAAGACCTAACCGGAAAAATAAGTCCTAGCATGATTTTTCAGGATGCTCGTAATATAAGCCCTACCCCCAAAAATAAGCCCCAGTTAGGATCGGCAACCAGACGGAGGCATTTAGTACTGTATTTTCCCCAAAATAAGACCTAAGCGGAAAATAAGCCCTAACATGATTTTTTAAGGATTTTATTTATTGGTTCGATTTATATGCCGCCCTTCTCTGGAGACTCAGGGCGGCTTACAATGCGTTAAGCAACAGCTTTCGTACTTTGGTATATACCTGCTTAGTAGGGCTTTCGGGCCCCCATAAGCGGTGTTTTTTTTTTATACGAAGTCATCTTATTGCCCCCACAATCCGGGTTCTCATTTTACCTTCCTCAAAAAGATGGAGTCAACCTTGAGCCTGGTGAGATTCGAACTTGCAATAATTGCAGGCAGCTGGTGCTACTTAACAGGACTTTAGTCTGCTGCGCCACCAAGGATGCTTGTAATATAAGCCCTATCCCAAAAATAAGCCCCAGTTAGGATCGGCTATGAAATGGAGGCTTTTATTACTGTATTTTCCCCAAAATAAGACCCAACTGGAAAAATAAGCCCTAGCATGATTTTTCAGGATGCTCGCAATATAAACCCTACCCCAAAAATAAGCCCCCGTTAAGATCGTCGACTAGACGGAGGCATTTAGTGCCGTATTTCCCCTAAAATAAGACCTGACCGGAAAATTAGTCCTAATTTTGGAGCAAAAATTAATATAACACCCGGTTTTATTTTGGGGGGGAAACACAATATGTTGCTGTAATCTCAGATTGCCTTGTGAGCCCGATGTTTAGCAGCTCTACGCGGGTGTAAGCAAAATTTTGTCCCTTGTGCTACACTGTGCACACAAATCCATACACATATTATTCCAAGCCCCACACACCGATACTGGGAGCTTGGGGCCACTGTGTCTGAACGCACCGCCATTTTATATGATAAAAGCCAAGGAAACTTGGCTTGTCGGGCCGATCGGTGTTTGGCCCAAAATCTCGGCAAGGTTGGAACGGGAAGGGCCCGATTCTCACGCACCGTTTGTCTCGTTTCTTCATTGCAGGAAAAGGAGTCCACCGAAGATTATAACGTGGCGTGCATTCTGACGTTACCGCCTTATCAGAGACGGGGTTACGGCAAGCTGCTGATTGAATTCAGTAAGTGAGCCCTTCTTGTTTTGAATTTAACCTCGACTTACAACCTCAGCTTAACAACCATTCGTGCAACGGCAGCAGCTCAGAGTTAAAACGGCACTCAAAACAGTGACTTAGGACCTGTCCTCACACTTACGACCATCATCCAGCATCTTCACGGTCACGTGATCCAACATTCAGGCACTTGACAACTGGCCTGGTAGTCCTCGACCTGCAACAGTTCAGTCACGGACCGTTCGAAGTTACGACGGCACTGAAAAAAGTGACTTGCGGCCGTTTTTCACACTTAACGACCGTTGCAGCGTCTCCCGTGGTCACGTGATTTACATTTGGGTGTTTGATGGCTGATTCGCATTTACGACGGTTGCAGTGTCCCCAGGGTGTTTGTGTGTGTCGCATGATCCCCTTTTGCGACCTTCCAGCAAGCAAAGTCAGTGGGGGAGCCAGATTCACTTAACAACCGGGTTACTCATTTAAGTACTGCGGTGATTCGCTTAACAGACGTGGTGAGAAAAGTCATAAAATGGGACCAACCCGCTTAACACACATTTCACAGACTGACATAAAATTTGGGGCTCGATTGTGGTCGTAACTCGAGGACGACTATAACGGCCGTATCTTGGGGTCAAGCGGTCGCCATTTGTAACCCATCCCAGCTGGCTTCCAACAAGCGGGGAATAGAAGCTGGATTTGTTTAACGAACGCATGATTCGCTTAACAACAGCAGCAAAATGGGCCCAAACTCACTTAAGTCACTAAACAACTGTCTTTGCTTAGCAATGGAAATTTTGGTTGCAGATCGAGGCACCACTTATACTTCAGTCCTCCCCGTCCTCCCCCAAATGATCCTGGATCTATTTCTTAAAATCCTGGCTTGTTCTTAACTCAGTTCCGTCTCTCCTCTCCAGGTTACGAGCTGTCCAAAGTAGAAGGGAAGACGGGCACCCCCGAGAAACCCCTCTCGGATTTGGGGCTCTTGTCGTACCGCAGCTACTGGTCCCAGACCATCCTGGAGATCCTGATGAATCTCAAGCTGGAGAACGGCGAGCGCCCGCAGATCACCATCAAGTGAGCGCCAAAATTACCAGGATGTGCAAAAACCATAGGGAAGGCGGTTTTTCATCCCTCAAAATTTGAGAACGACAATCTCTAATCTAGATGTTTCCCCAGATTTGTCGGCAAATTTTGATGTTGTGAGTGGGGGACGGGACGGGACACAAGGCAGGGATGAAATACAGAAGAAATTCTCAAAAGAGAGGGTTGGATTAGATGACCTCTGTTTAGCCCCCTTCTCAGTCTGATCTATCCATTCGGCTCCGTGATTTATTTATTTTTTTAAAAAAAATTTTCAGGGGGTTGCCGATTGGGCAAAATAGCAGTTTCATTTTTTGCCTTCTCCCGTTTGCCAACGGAAAAAGAGAGGGTTGGACTAGATGTCCTCTATTTGTCACCGTCCCACTCTGTGATCTTATCCAGTCTGATCTCTCCATTCAGCTCCACGATTTATTCATTTTTTTTTGTTGTTGTCGTTTCCGATTAAGCATAGATGACCTCTGTTAGTCCCTTTCCCACTCCATGATCTTTTTCAGTCTGATCTCTCCATTCAGCTCCGTGATTTTTTATTTCATTTTTATTTTTTGATTGCCAATTGGGCCAAAAAGCAGTTTCATTTTTGCCTTCTGTTTGCAAAACGGAAAAACAGAGGGTTGGACTAGATGACCTCCATTTGTCCCCTAGCACCCCCCCCCCCCGGTCTTATTCAGCCTGAACTCTCCATTCAGCTCCGTGATTTTTTATTTTATTGATTTATTTTTTGGTTTCCAATTGGGCCAAAAAGCAATTTCATTTTTTTTTTATTGAAAAGTTTTATAAGAAATAAAAACATTTTCTCCCCCCACACCCTTTCCCCCTCCCCTCCTTCCTCCCCCCCCCCCCCCTCCCTAGACTTCCCAGAACAGGCACAGGGTATAGCATTCACAAACATAAAGCTAAAATATGCTAACAAATTATTGCATTCATATTCTCCCTAAATCTTTAACTCCTTATAACTCAAAAACTATAAACATAAACTACTCAAAAATATTTCATTCATAAGCTATATGAATCTTCTTGTTCAGATACTTTTTTTGTATATAGTCAGTCCATCTTCTCCATTCTGATATGTATCTTTCATTCGAATGATCTTTAAGATATGATGAAATTTTCGCCATTTCTGCCAAATGCACAACTTTTAATGTCCATTTCTCAATGGTGGGTGGATCTTCCTTCTCCCAGTACTGTGCCACCAGTAACCTGGCAGCTGTTATTAAATTCAAAACCAACTTAGTCTCTATTACAGTACAATCCGTGACTATTCCCAACAAAAAAAACTGTGGTGTAAATTTAATTTTTTTCCTTAAAATATTTTGAATAATCCACCATATTTTTATCCAAAAGCCTTAATTTTTTTACATGTCCACCATATATGAAAATATGTAGCATCTTCACACTCACATCGCCAACACTTGGGTTGTAAATTTGGATACATGCAGGCTAGTTTTTTTGGGTCTAAATGCCATCTATAAAACATTTTGTAAAAGTTCTCTCTCAAGTTTTGACTTTGTGTGAAGCAGTTTCATTTTTGACTTCTCCCTGTTTGCAAACGGGGAAAAATGAGGCGTTTTGGTCCCCGAAATGTAAGCAAGCAGAATTGCCCCAAAATTTAGTTCTCCAGGACTAAATCTCATCAGGGATGGCTCTCTTTTTTCTCATTGCTTTCTCCGATCCTGTCCTCCCTGCGCGCTTCCCCAACTGAAGAACATTGCGTTAAAACATGACAGATAAACTAAATTAGAGCGTTTTCATTTTGATTAATTTTTTGGGTAACTAAAGCTATGAACAAAATATTTTTCTAAAATATTACCAAGTCCAACCATCCTCTGTTCAAAGCATCTAACCCCAAATCCCTCATCTACTGCATCGATACCGCATTTCTCGTGACTGTTTTGGATAGGGATGGCTAGCCTTTTAAACTACCTTATTGTTATTTGTTAAATCTTAAATCTCAATTATGCAAATAAATATTCGGTCAACTCCTCCCCGTCCCGTTATTGCAAAGAAATATAAAAACCATCCAGAGTCAGAGCAGGATATATAAACAAGCTTCCCCCCCCCCCCCCCATCATTTCTCTTTGCAAAGGCTGATGTCTGCTGGGAAATCTGGACGTGATGGCATCTGGGAGATTTAGATCAGTGGATCCCCCAACCATTTTGGCACCAGGGATAAATGGAAGACAAAATTTTTGGACAGACGGGATGGGGCGGGGGGAAGGTTTTCACAGTGCAAATGAATATCCCAAAGTTGCTTTTTCAAGAGGCAATTAATTGGAGTTCCTTTCTTTTTTTCTTTGAAGACATTTCGCTTCTCATCCAAGAAGCTTCTTCAGCTCTGGATGAATGGTGGGGAAGGAAGGATTGATACTCCTTGCAGACAAAGCTGGTCATTTGCATCCTTTTTAGAGGGTCGTCGAGGCCACTTGGAGGTTCATCTGTGTCCTTGGGGTCACCCGAGTTGTTTCAGGAGTTCCAAAGGCTCTCACGCCTATTTGCACCACTCAGGACACAGATAAAACCCCCAACTGGCCTCAACAACCCTCTAAAAGGATGCAAATGACCAGCTTTGTCTGCAAGTAGTATCAATCCTTCCGTTCCCCACCATTCAGTCAGAGCTGAAGAAGCTTCTTGGATGAGAAGCGAAACATCTTCAAAAAAACCCAAAAAAAACAGTTGCCTCTTGAAAAAAGCACCACGACTTGGATAACTGAGGATCTCCATAGACATGTGCAAATGAAGATTTGCTCACTCGTCTGTTTGCTTGCGTGGCCCGATTACTATCGGGCCACAGACCCGATTACCAGTGCCCAGCTGGGAGGGGTTAAGAGATCCCTGTTTTAGACAGTGGAATTCTGGGAATCTGAAATTGCTTCTAAGCGCGGCGGTTTTTCTCGCCCTTCAGCATTTTAATTGCGTTTTCTTTCCTTCCCTCCCCCCTCCGCATCTTTTTCCAGCGAGATCAGCGAAATCACGAGTATCAAAAAAGAAGACGTCATCTCCACGCTTCAATATCTGAACCTCATCAATTATTACAAGGTAAATTTACCGCTCGGGGTCCTTGATCCGTGGAGAAGTTTAGCATCCCTTTGCTTTTTACTGGTTTTTCCAAAATGATAAAATAATCCACATTTTTTGCAGCAGGCAAAATCATCATCATCATCATCATCTCTTTATTCATTAACCATGAAACTCAGTCAACTGAACATTTAAAAATGTGTCCCAAATACGAGTGACTGGTGCTTAATGGTTGATAGGGGTTGCTGCCAGCATCCTAGGTATCAACCAAGTATCTACTTTACTTTTACTTTTACTTTTATTTGATTTGTATACTGCCCTACTCCCGAAGGACTCAGGGCGGTGAACAGCCAACAATAAAATACATGCATACAAAATTTAAAAAGCAGAAATAAAATCGAATTAAATAGTTTGGCCCAGACAGATTAAAACCCCAATCAATTTAAAACAAATTTAAATGTTTGAGTATTAAAAATATTAAAATTGTTTAAAAAGAGGGAGAAAGTTAGGCCAGGCCCGCCTGGTGAAATAAAAAGGTCTTACTTAAAATATATGATGTTCCAAGTAGCGCAGTTTTTTTGCAGTTCCGCTGGTGGTATTGCAGGAAGCTGCAATTTCTTGATGTGTTTTGTAAAATTCTTGGACATGGTGCCAAGTGCCCCGATGACAATGGGTATCACTGTTATGTGTTTCATCCATAATCGCATAGTTTCAATGGCCACGTTGCGATATTTTGTGATTTTTTTTCCAGTTCTTTTTCTTCACTTCTGGCATCTCCTGGTACAGCAGTATCAATAAACTGTACGCTTTGGCCCTCGGTATTATTTTATTCTATTTTATTTTATTTTTATTTTATTTTATTTTTATTATTTTTATTCTATTTTATTATTAGCACGTCAATGGTATTTGTGATGAAGTTTTGAACGTTCAGGTTTTTTTAAAATTTGATTTATATGCCGCCCTTCTCCGGAGACTCAGGGCGGCTTACAGTGCTTAAGCAATAGCCTTCATCCTTTTGTATATTTATACAAAGTCAGCTTATTGCCCCCACAAACTGGGTCCTCATTTTACCTACCTCAGAAAGGATGGAAGGCTGAGTCAACCTTGAACCTGGTGAGATTTGAACTTGCAGTAATTGCAGGCAGCTGGTGTTAATAACAGTGCTTTAGTCTACTGCGCTACCAAGGCTCGTTGACTTGAGTTCATGTTTAATGAATAAAGTAAATATTTTAAATAATAATCAGTCCTTTATTTACAACCACTCGTTTAGTGACTGTTCAAAGTTAAAACAACACTGAAAAAAGTGATTTATGACCATTTTTCACACTTACGGCCGTTGTAACGTGTTCAAAATTCAGATGCTTGGCAACTCACATTTATGACAGTTGCAGTGCTCCAGGGTCACGTAATCCCCTTTTACGACCTCCTGACCAGCAAAGTCAATGGGGGGGAAGCCAGATTCGCTTAACGACCGTGTGACTATCTTAACCCCTGCAGTGATTTGCTTAACAAACTGTTTGCAAGAAAGGTCGTAAAACAGGGCAAAACTCACTTCCCAACTCGTTCCGCTTAGCAGCAGAAATGTTGGGCTCAGTTTGTGGTTGTAAGTCAAGGACTTGGCGTTGTTTGTCACGAGAACTTAGAATGTAAGTCAGAGAAGAGCAAGAAAGAGGATTAGGGGATGATTGGAGGCTAAAACATATGAAAAACGGTTGCAGGAATTGGGTATGGCTAGCTTGATGAAGAGAAGGACTAAGGGAGACAGGAGAGCAGTCTTCCAACATCTCAGGGGCTGCCCCAAAGAAGAGGGAGTCAAGCTATTCTCCAAAGCACCCGAGGGCAGAAGAATCAATGGATGGAAACTCATCAAGGAGAGAAGCAACTTAGAAATAAGGAGAAATTTCCTGACAGTGAGAAGTGAGAACAATTAACCAGAGGAACAGCCTGCCACCAGAAGTTGTGAATGCTCCCACACTGGAAGCATTTTAAGATGTTGGATTTGTCTGAAATGGTATAGGGCCATGATGGCGAACCTGTGGCACACGTGGAAGAGGTGGCACACACAGCCCTCTCTGTGGGCATGCACATCATTGCCAGCTACTCTTCTGGTTTCTAGCGCACCCATGCACGCCAGCCAGCTGGTCTTCATGGGTGCTGGAGCGTTTTCAGGCTGTTTTTCAGCTGTTTTGGGGCCGTTTTCTGGTGCTCCAGCGCCTGGCGTGCATGTGCGCGCTGGAAACCAGAAGAGCAGCTGGCGACAGCGCATGTGCCTACAGAGAGGGCCTGAAAAATGGCCCGGAAATGGAAAAAACAGGTATGTGTGTGCCGGCCAGCTGGTATTTGGTTTCCAGCTCTCTAAGCGCACGCACATGCATGTGCATTCCGGTTTGGGTGCTGAAAATGTTCCCCATCACGGATTGAGCGGGGGAGAGTGGGGATCAGAATAGAAGACCTCCACCGCCCCCTTTCAGCTGTGTCAGGGTTCCAAGTCTCAAACCCAACGAAATCAAACTCCCGAGGCGTTTGAGTTTCCTCAAAGCTAAATTTTATTAAGAGACGTCATCTTGGCACGTCTGGGAAAAACCCGAAATCTTGATAGCTTCCGGGTTTCCCTCACCCAAAAGGAAGTCCCTTCCCCCTGCACCCACACGCCCATCACACGAACCAATCAATCAATCAGGTACCCTCCGGAACAGAAGATAACCACCTTCATTCTTCTCAGCACAGCTGCAGGTCACAATGGCCTTGACTCTCTGGAAATAATGTTATTTTGACTACCGACCATCCTCACTCCATACAATCCAACCCCCCCCCTTCCCATTTTCCCCACAGTAGAATTTGGTGACAAGATGGCTTCCAGGTCTGACCCTCTTGTGGTTCCGTTATTCCCCCCCCAGGGACAATATATCTTGACTCTCTCCGAGGACATCGTGGACGGACACGAGCGGGCCATGCTGAAACGAATTCTACGCATCGATTCCAAGTGTTTACATTTCACCCCGAAGGACTGGAGCAAAAGGGGGAAGTGGTGAATTTAAAGACAACACCCCCCCCTCCCGGGGCCCTTTGAACTTCGGCAAAAGCGGGGGGGCGGAGGTCCAGGACCTCGGTGTACAGCGGTAGCAGGAGGATCAGGCTGACACTCACCCCTATCCCGGACTCCGATCAGCCCGACGCGTCCTGAATGGCCTTTTTCCGAGACGGGACCCCGCCAAGACTTTGTGTACAGTAGTTGAAAAAGCACAGAACGGCTTGGGCTCGCCCTGCTTATTATATACGTTCAGACATTTGCTGAATGCTCCCCACAACCTCCAGATTGGGGGGCCGAGGGGGTTTCTGGGGGGTCCCCCCCCCGAGTCCCATGGTCCTCCGGATAACAGGAAGAGTGGGTTTGTGGGGTGGTCCTTCGGAGTGGCCAGATAATGGATCCCTTCCCTGATTTTGGGGGGGGGGGGGGGGGGGAGATACAGCACTTTGGGACTGAAACCCGGGGGGGGGGGGGGGCACAAGGCAGGACTCCCCCCCCATCGTCTGCAGCTCAGAAGAGGGGGTGTCCCACGGGCCTCAAGAATCGAGGAGAAGAGATGCACTTTTCTCAAGAAGCGACAAAACTCACCTCATGTCTCTGATTGGAATAAATGAACAAAGTCCTTTTTTTTTAAGGAAAAAGAATTATTTCTGTATTTTCTTTTTTCTTCTTCTTTCGCTTCCCTCTTCTCCCCTTTTCTTCGCTTCCTCCCTTTCTCTCCTTTTCCCTGGGCTTATTTCTTTCCTCCCTCTTCTTTTTCTTTTTTTCCTTCCTCCCTTTCTCTCTTCCTTCTTTCCTTTCTTTCCCCATTTCTTTGTTTCTTTTCTATTCCTTCCTTTTTCCCTCCCTTCTCCTTTTTCTTTCTTACCTCTCCCTTTTCTTCTCTCATCTTTCATTTGTTTCCTTCCTTTCTCTTCCTTCTTTCCTTTCTCAATTTTTGTTTCTTTTCTATTCCTTCCTTTTTCCCTTCCTTTTTCTTTACCTCTCCCTTTTCATCTCTCATCTTTCTCTATTTCTTTGTTTCCTTCCTTTCTCCTCTTTCCTTTTTTGCAATTTTTGTTTTTCTATTCTTCCTTTTTCCCTTCCTTCCTTCTTTTCTTTCTTACCTCCCTTTTCTTCTCTCATCTTTCTCCATTTCTGTTTCCTTCCTTTTTCTTCCTTCTTTCCTTTTTTGCAATTTGTTTCTTTTCTATTCTTCCTTTTTCCCTTCCTTCCTTTTTTTCTTACCTCTCCCTTTTCTTCTCTCATCTTTCTCCATTTCTGTTTCCTTCCTTTTTCTTCCTTCTTTCCTTTTTTGCAATTTGTTTTCTTTTCTATCTTCCTTCCTTTTTCCCTTCCTTCCTTCTTTCTTACCTCTCCCTTTTCTTCTCATCTTTCTCCATTTCTGTTTCCTTCCTTTTTCTTCCTTCTTTCCCTGTTTGCAATTTTTGTTTCTTTTCTATTCTTCCTTCCTTTTTCTTTCTTACCCCTCCCTTTTCATCTCGTCTTTCTCCATTTCTTTGTTTCCTTCCTTTCTCTCTCCCTTCTTTCTTTCTCAATTTTTGTTTCTTCTTTTCTATTTTTCCTTTTTCCCTTCCTTCTCCCTTTTCTTCTCTCACCTTTCTCTTTTCTTTGTCTCCTTCCTTCCTTCATCCTCCTTCCCATTCCCTCTCTCCTTCCTTCCCTCCCTCCCTCTTCTCCCTCTCTCTTTTTCTTCATTCCCTTGGTTTTGGAAAGCAGGGCCCAAAGAAAGTGGATTGGCAGGAAAGGCCAACAAGTCGTAGTTCCTGAAAGCGTTAAAAGTTGTTTTTCCCCCCCTCCTGAATTGCAATTTTTATTTTATTTTTATTTTCTATTTTTATTTGATTTATATGCCGCCCTTCTCCGGAGACTCAGGGCGGCTTACAATGCATTAAGCAATAGCCTTCATACTTTTGTATATTTATACAAAGTCAGCTTATTGCCCCCACAAACTGGGTCCTCAATTTACCTACCTTAGAAAGGATGGAAGGCTGAGTCGACCTTGAGCCTTGGCGAGATTCGAACTTGCAGTAATTGCAGGCAGCTGTGTTAATAACGATGCTATAAACCACTGTACTACCAAGGCTCCTAAGGCAATTACCAAGGCAATGAAAATCTCAAATTTTTCAAGAGAGAAATTTGATGTTACAAAAATGAAAAAAAAAACAAAAAACCACATGGCAACGCTAATTTCTCCTAAAAAGTTGTGGAAGGGGTTTTGGCAGCATCCCCCCTCCCCATTCTGTCCCTCAAAGAGTTGATGGAGAAGCCTAAAGCAAGACCATCACTACTTTCAAAACAAGGAGAGGTTTTATTCGTGTGTTTTTTTTAAAAAAATAAATAAATGCCAGAAGTAGTTAGAAGCCCCCAGCAGACACTAAAATTTTAAATAGGGCCTTGTCCGTCTTCAGTGGGAAACAAAAGGTGCTCAAATCATTCAAGGAATGAAGCCCTCAAAAGCAACAAAAACATATATACCTAAAAGTAATTAAAAGTCAGCCTAAGATCCACGCAAGGCTGCAATTTCTTTCCAAGCGGCTGTAAAATAAAAGCATGAATTGCAAATAAGAGTTTGGAAGGAAAAAGAATAAGCAAAGGGACCTTCCTTAACGCAGCAAAAGAGAGGCTGAAGTTTTGGTTCCGTCTTCTTTCTCACCCAAGTCACAGCACAACGTATTTTTCTCGGAAAATCCCTTCGGACAAACACTCTGGTCTTCCTCACTCTTCATCAGTCACGGGGGCGTGGATCTGCAAGGGGACCCACACAGAAAACAGGGTGGATTTGATTTAAATCGAGTTGATTTAAATCACAATTTAAATCATGATTTAAATCACTAGTAAAAAGGCTTGATTTAAATCACCTCGATTTAAATGATAATTTTTATTTATTTATTTATTTGTTTGTTTAAATTTCTATACCGCCCTTCTCCAAATAGGACTCAGGGCGGTGCACAGCCTAAGTAAAAACAAAGCATACAAAATTTAAAAAACAGTATCAAAATAATTAAATATTCTGGCCGTAAATTAAAACAACTGTTTTAATTTAAAGAGCAACTGTCATCTCAGCTACTCCTTTGACCCGCTGTTGACTCACCGATAGTCCCGGTGTTGCAGAATATACAGCCTCCTGCTACATAACTCAGCCCCATTTCATGCTGAATAAACTAAGTTATTTATGTATCTTAAATAGAAAACTATCTTACCATAGGTTTTTATCCCAAAAGTTTTTTATTAAAATAAATTCGATAAAAATCAAAAAAATCCGATTTAAATCAAAAAAATCCGATTTAAATTTTAAAAAATCTGATTTTTTTGATTTTTTTAAAAAAATCATTGATTTTTATCCACCCTGACAGAAAATCAGCGCCTTGCCTTTGTGCCCAAATGCGTACAGGTAGTCCTCTGCTTACGACCACGTGACGTTCCATCACTGGGAAAAAAAGTCGCACTTAACGACACTTCACGACATCCCCTTGATCAAAATTTGAGCTTTTTGGCACCCAGCATGGTCCCAGATTCGGTTAACGACCATGGCAAAAAAAAAAAGGTGGTATAATTGAGCACAATTCACTTAACATCCGCATCTGTTAGCAAACGGAAATTTCCGAGCCGAATTGTGCAGGTAAGTCGAGGACTAAATTTGGCACAAGAATGGATTCCCATAATCCTGACAGGTAGAGCTCAAAGAAAGGTGAAAATGCAGCAGGTGCCCCATAGAAAAACATATTCAAACCAAGACCCAAGTTTCTAGCCCTCAGGAACACCGTTCAGCCTTTGCTTCGTTCCTGCACTCTTCCCCAAAACCATTTTGTCTGTCCCAGTATTAGATTTTAAGCACGTTGTTGCATTCAAAACAGAAAAAGAAAAGAAAAAAAATAACCCCACGTGGCTTAATTGCGGATTTGTGATACCAAATTTTTGATTCCGTCTCGATCCTGTTTCACATTTCTGGATCCAAATTCTGAAGTTTGAATGAACTCTTCAGCCAGAGCGGACTTCAACTCCCAGAATCCTCAGGTTAGAGACTGAGGAATTCTGGGAGTTGTAGTCTGGAGGTTTTGTTTTTTGTTTTTTAAATGCGGAAGTCAAATCAACACTCACCCCTCGAGCGATCGCTGGCCAAGCGAAAGCCATGACGATTTCATCGCTGTTACTTGGTGCCCGTTCCAGGTTCCATACTGTCAGGGAATCAAAAGTCGACTTCACACCCACTTCCCGTTCCTGGTGGGGGGGGGTGGAAGAGGGGGGCAGAAAAGAGGATGCTGTTGGCGGGGAGCACTGGATTTATTTGCCCCCCTTCTTTACAGCTTTAGAAACTAGGGAGGGTGTCTTGTGAGCCTCTCGCCCTGCCTGTTATACATCTGAGGGTTATGCTGTCTCTTTATCTGACAGGGTCTCTTTGCTCCTTCTCCCAAGGTCTTCCCCACATATCTTGCACAACCTAACACATTCTGAACTCTTTCCATAGATCTAGATTCTCTCTCTCCCCACCAACCTCTTTTACAACCTGAGAAACTAGGGAGGGTCCCTTCTGAAACTCTTTCTCCTTTCATTATGCAGCTGAGGGCTCGGCTGACTCTTATCTGATGTTCCTTGGCAGCCTTTCTTTGCCCTGTCTTCCCCACATACCATTCCAGGAACAAACCTTGGATGTTAGGCCTAAGTTGGCCTCTTCCAGCACTAACCCGACATATCCTTTCGGAAGACAGCTTTCCTTCCCCTTCAAGCTTCGGCCACGGAAGGACACCGAGGCCTCTCCTGGATTGGGTGAAAGGTAGGAAAGAAACCACAGCAATGAAATGCAAACAGGCTGCGGCTGCATTCCCAAGACCTCCTCTTTTTCCCAAAGCACACTAACCACAATAAAATGCAAGAACTGAATCAAAACACCCTGAATCAAAACGCACGCAAGATAGGATGTTTGCTCTATTATTATTATTATTATTATTAGATGGTTATCCTCCTAAATATAATTCTCCAACATGAAGATCAAGTTGATGAGTTGATCCATGTTCTGGATTCGTACTAAATGCAAGGGTTTCAAAGCTAAAGAGACCGGATCAGCCGGATTAAAAAAAATCACAAACATAAATTAAGATTAACGTTCCATCTATTTAGTACGTAGTGTGAATGCAGCGCCTAGGTTGCACCAAACCTAGCCACTAGCCTTCAATTCTGGTGGCCTTTTTCTTTCTGCTGGACACCGGGGATATAGATAGATAGATAGATAGATAGATAGATAGATAGATAGATAGATGATAGGTAGGTAGGTAGGTAGATAGATAGATAGATAGAGATGATAGATGGATGATAGGTAGGTAGGTAGGTAGGTAGATAGATAGATAGATAGATTATAGGTAGGTAGATATGTAGGTAGATGATAGATAGATAGATAGATGATAGGTAGGTAGGTAGGTAGGTAGGTAGGTAGATAGATAGATAGATAGATAGATAGATAGATAGATAGATGAGGATAGATAGTAAAAGGTAGATGGATGATAGATAGTAGAGGATAGATATAGATAGCTCAGATAGATAGATAGATAGATGATAGTAGAGGATAGATGATTGATAGATAAATAGATGATAAATAGATGATAGATAAATAGAGGATAGATAGAGGATAAATAGTAGAGGATAAATGATAGATAGTAAAGGATAGATAGATAGATAGATAGTAGAGGATAGATATAGATAGCTCATAGATAGATGATAGTTGAGGATAGATGATTGATAGATAAATAGAGGATAGATAAATAGATGATAGATAGTAGAGGATATAGATAGCTCATAGATAGATAGATGATAGAGGATAGATAGTAGAGGATAGATAGATGATAGAGTAGAGGATAGATGATAGATAGATGAGAGCAATGATAGATAAATGATGATAGATAGATAGTAGAGGATAGATAGATGATAAAGATGATAGATAGATGGATGATAGATAGATAGGAGCCTTGGTGGTGCAGTGGACTAAAGTGCTGTTAAGTAGCACTTAGCTGCCAGCTGCCTGCAATTACTGCGAGTTCAAATCTCACCAGCTCAAGGTTGACTCAGCCTTCCATCCTTTCGAGGAAGGTAAAATGAGGACCCGGATTGTGGGGGCAATAAACTGACTTTGTATAAAAAAAGAACACCGCTTGGGGGCCCCCGAAAGCCCTACTAAGCAGGTATATACAAAAGTATGACGGCTATTGCTTAACGCATTGTAAGCCGCCCTGAGTCTCCGGAGAAGGGCGGCATATAAATCCAACCAATAAATAAATAAATAAATAAATAAATGATAAGATTATAGATAGAGAGCAATGATAGATAAACAGATAGAGGGATAGATAGGAAGATATAGATCGATCAATCGATAAAAATGGGGGGGGGGTTGGAATTGATGGTCATGTCTTGGAAAGCCCCCCCCTTAGTTTAAATTTGGGGGTGTTGGTTTTGAGGCAGGGACCAGATTCTACAGTGGGAATACATAAAGGGACAAATAATAATCTCCTTTTTCGCCTCCGCATTTTTTTTTTTTTTAAATTTTGATTTATATGCCGCCCTTCTCCGGAGACTCAGGGGGGCTTACAATGCGCTAAGCAATAGCCTTTATACTTTTGTATATTTTATACAAAGTCAGCTTATTTCCCCCACAAACTGGTCCTCATTTTACCCACCTTAGAAAGGATGGAAGGCTGAGTCAACCTTGAGCCTGGCGAGATTCGAACCCTGCAGTAATTGCAGGCAGCTGGTCTTAATAAGCTTAATAACAGGGTGCCTTAAACTCCTGTACTACCAAGGCTCCTTTTTAAAAAATGCAATAGGATGGGAGGCGTTTGAGAGGCACCCCAAACGTTTCCAGGACACCAGAGGTCCCCATTGGAAAACCATAAGCCAGGATTAAACTTCAAACCTGCATGCAAAGGAAGAGCTGCTCCCCACCGACCCACTTTTTTTTCTTTTCCCCTCCGGCTTGGGCAGCTGGGAAGAAAGGCGGACTTCCAACTCCCAGCATTTGCTGGCTGGGGGGATCACGGGAGTGGAAGTCGTGATTCACACAACAACACGACAATCCCGGGTTCCCCAGGCGGAGTCCCAGAAGGGCCGGTGTCCCAGTGCTCATGCTGGGTCGCATCCTGGCCGGCCAGGCAGCCAGGCAAACAAACATGGGTGTTGTAGTCCCTCCCCCCCTGAACTGGGGTTGCAACGTCCCCCAAACTGGAGGGCGCAGGTTGCAGAAGCCTCCTCCTCCTCCCGGGCATCTTTTGCGCGCCAGGGAGCCAGGAAGGGCCTTGCAAGCCCCGAGCGGCCTTGGCTGCTGCAGCCGCGCGTGCCTACCCTCTGGCGCCTCTGGATGGCGGCGGACGGCGGGCGCAAAGTAGCGCGCCACGGCGGCGGGCCCGTCGTGCTGGATGGAACAAGGGAGGAGGTGCAGCGGGTCTCGGGGAGCCCCCGGCAGGGAAGCCAACGCCAGCCGCGCCACCTCCCGCTCCGCCCCGGCCATTTGCACAGCTTCCCGCGCTGCACGCCGCCTCCGCCCCGGCCAGGGATCCACCCCCAGGTGGGAAGGAAGGAAGGAGGGAGGGAGGAGTTTCTCCCTCGCGCAGGGATCCACCCCCCCCCCCGGGCGGGGGGGGGGGGGGGAGACCCCCACTCACCCCCAGCGATCCCCCCCCGGGGGGTGGGAGAGATCCTCTCTCGCCCAGGGATCCACCCCAGGGTGGGAGTGAGGTCCTCACTCAGAGATCCACCCCCAGGAGGTGGGAGAGATCCTCTCTCGCCCAGGGATCCACCCCAGGGTGGGAGTGAGGTCCTCACTCAGAGATCCACCCCCAGGAGGTGGGAGAGATCCTCTCTTGCCCAGGGATCCACCCCAGTGGGAGTGAGGGGAGACCCTCACCCAGGGATCCACCCCCAGGTGGGTAGGAGATTCTCCCTCACCGAGGGATCCACCCCTGGGTGGCAGTGACAAAGAGATCCTCACCCAGGGATCCACTCCCGGGAGGTGGGAGAGATCCTCCCTCACCCAGGGATCCACAGCAGTGGGAGTGAGGATGAGCTCCTCACCCAGGGATCCACTCCCGGGTGGGTGGAAGAGATCCTACCTCACCCAGGGATCCACCCCAGTGGGAGTGAGGGGGAAATCTTCCCTCGCCCAGGGATCTACTCCCCCCTGGGAGGGAGGGATCCTTAAGCTAACATAAAGGAAAACCTTAGGGCTGGGGAATTCTGGGAGTTGAAGTCCAGCTGTCTTAAAGTGTCCATATTTTGAAAAAAAAACACAACTCTAAATCAAAGCAATCGCTTTCCGCGGAACTTTATTTGATCTGGTTTTTGCACAACGCATGAATCCGACCGTGAAACGGGCGGCTTTCCCACTCAGCCTGAGGTAACAACACTAAGCAACTATCTTAGCCTGTTGTGGGATTCGGGCTATCCCATCAAGCCACAACTGATCGTAGATTCGACTGCTACACATCGCTCCGTTCCCCCGTTTCCCTCCACTTATTTCACAGGGATCCAATCTTGGTCACTTTTGTGGACTTCAACTCCCAGAATTCCCCAGCCGGCATGACTTCCTGCTGCTGCTGACTCCGCCCCAGCTATGGAGCCACCCCTCCCTCAGGAAATCCTCCCTCGGAATTCTGGGAGTTGAAGTCCACAGGTCTTAAAGTAGCCAAGGTTGGGGACCCCTGCTCTGGCCTACGTCAAATCTAAATGCAAAACTCCCCAAATATCTTCCTCCTCCTCTGTCCAATTTACTACATTGAGGTTGCAAAAGATGTATTTTTTTATTGGGAACATTTGGGAGAAATGTTAGAATTCCACCCAAAGGCAGGTAAGAGTGACAGTCCTGTCCCCACCAGCTCCCCCTTCATCCACAGGAGCGTTGCGGTGTCAGCTGCCCTTCACCAGACTCTGCAAATAGTGGTTAAGCGAGGGAAGGAGCTTCCAGTTGTCGGTTCGGATGCTCACCCGGCCCGCATCGTCCACACTCCGCACCTTTAGCAGGATGTGATCCCGAGGCGGTAAAGTCAGGGCGATCCTATACTCGTCGCCTTCCTCAGCCAGGATGTACCTGCCGAATTGCTCACGCACTAAGCCTTCTAAGGACCGGGGCGGCAGGGGCCAAACGGTGAGGCTCTCGGCATGCGCGTCTTTGGCGTTGGGGTGCAGGCACTGCCAGAGCGCCTCAAAAAGTTGGCAACATTTCTCTGAAGACCAGTCAGGCACTGGCAGGGGTAGGAAAAGATCCGGAAAGGCCACTTCCAGGTTTTCAAGCCGACTCCAACGCGTCAATCCATCTTGCGTCGTGTAAAGGGCAGAAACATTTATCCGCGTCGGGTATGGGCAATGCGGTTGTAACGACAGCCTCACCGTTGGGGACGAGCGATGCGCAGAAAGGCACGGAATGCAGAGTTCAGGCACCGGCTCGTAATGCCGGCTGGTGCAAGTGAACCGAAGCACCACGCAGAGGAGGAGGTCGTAGGGAGGCGTGCCAGGCCCCGCGTGGACCAGCCGGTACGCCAAACTGAGCCGTGAGGGAGAGCGGTCCACCAGCAACCACTGGCAGTAGCCGTCCACCTCCTGCTCGGCGGGAGGAACTGCGGGGGTGTCCCCTGTAATCTCGACACGCTGCAGCTTCAAAGGGGCTGGATCCACTGAGTGGACCGTCAACGCAGCGACAAAACTCTCGCTGTCGGCAACGATGGACGAGGATAGCGACCGAGTCTTGATGGAACCTTCGGGGACCAGGACGGATCTTAATTTTTCACCAGAAAGGTTGGTGAGTAGGGTGTAATAAAAGCCAGCTCGGTCTTGGACATCGACATCTGTGTGGCTCAGGGAGATGGCATGCAGGAGAGCCGCCAGCTGGGACAGGGCAGGCGAGGGGTGAAGCACCATCAGGTTCCGGCAAACGCTGAGTAGGATCTGGCCAGAGCGCCAATCCCCGAGTTTCCCCGAGGCGACCAGACGAGCTAAGAAGTGCATGGTGCTCACTTGGGGAACTTCCTTCTCCTTCGCCAGCCGGGCTAAAATCTTGAGATGCCAACTTAAGTCTTCCTCTTGCAAGGGGACACTCACAACAAATTCTTGCAGGGCCTGGGCGAGGGTCTTGGCCCAGCTGGACTCATCCAGCATCTTCCACGTCTCATCCAACAGATTGATGATGTTTGGGGCCAAGGTGCAGTTGTGACGGTAGAGATCTAGCAGGCACCGGGTCAGTTCCGTCATGGGCTGGGCCTGCGAGCCAAAATATTGGGCAAAAATGAAGGCTGCTTGGAAGAAAAGCCGTGTGGCGTCCAATCCTCCGTCTCGGGCCACTAGGCCTCCAAGAGCCAGGACATGCTCCAGGAGATAACCTGCCCCACGTTCAGCACTGGGCCCCTCGTTCTCCACGCACACGAGGCACAGCAAATTCATCCGGGCCAGGACGGTCCCCTGATCTTGGAAGAACCCGGGAAATAGACCCGAGGTAGTGCGCGGTGTGAGCAGAACTGGCAGCTGCTCATCGGTTCCCGAGACCAACGGTCGGTTTTCGGGGAAGTGCAAAAGACAATCCAAGTAGAAAAGCTTCACGGCGTCCGGGAGAGCCGGGTGCTGTGCCAGTCCCACCAGGTGCCGCAAGAGGAAGGACTCGTCCTCGGCGGTGAAGAGACTATCGGTGAACAGCGATTTCAGCTGCAGGATGGCGTGTTCCAGAGTCACGCTGGCTGTGCCGAAGAGACGTGCCAGCTGGGCTTTGAAAATCGCCGGTGATTGGGTGCGCACGACGCTGACCGCCTGAGCCAGATGGCACAAGAGGTGGCTCTGTGCCGCGGAGGTTAAGAGATAGCTGCTCTCCAGAAGCGCCGAGAGCACCAATTTTAGCTCCTTGAGGTCCGCTGCGGATGGCAAGAGGACCAACTGATCGAGGGCCGCTGGCGAGAGCTTGCCGACTTCCTTTGTAGCCTCCCACATCAGCTCTCCATTGCTTGCCAGAAGGTCCCCCAGGCAACCTTGTCCATTCCGGGCCAGGAGGAAGATGGCGTTCCGCAGCGCCACGCTGTACAGCAAAGTGTAACCCTGGTGGACGCTCGAGACCTCCTGCTGTTGCAGAGACCGCAGAATCTCCAGCCGGTGCAACAGGAACCCCGAGTAGCAGCTCTCCAGTTCTCGAAGGCACTCGCAAGCTGCGGCACGGATAGGCCGCTCGACGACTCCCCCGCGGCTGTCGTTCGGGTCGGACACCAGATGGAGCAGTACGGAGAGCAGTTCGTGCGATGTCGGGCAGTCTTCACCCAGGCTGTCGGTCGCCACCAGGACTGTTTCTGCGGCGAAGAGCAGGGAGCAACGGAGGCTGATGTGCTTGGGGGAGAGGCTCAGCTGGGCAAAGAGGGAGAGGAGGGAGGCTGCAGCTTCCTGACCCGCCTTGGCATCGGGGCACAGCAGGGTGGGATATTCCAAGAATAAAGACAGGATCGAGAGCTGCAAGAGAAGAAAAAGAGCTGTCGGGGACGATGGGGAGGAATATCGAGGCCGCCAGAAAATGATGATCCTCGATTGCAGTGTTTCTGAACCTCAGTAGCTGCAAGAGGGATGGACTTCGACTCCCAGAATTCTCCAGTTAGCATGCTTTAAGATGGATGGACTTCAACTCCCAGAATTCCCCAGCCAGCGTGCTTTAAGATGGCTGGACTTCCACTCTCAGAGCTGCCCAGGGCCTTCTGGGAATTGAAATCCACCCTCCTAAAGTTGCAAATACTATTTCTGTAACCTAAACGAAGGGTGTTGGCATACCTTGATGGCTTCCCCCAGCTTTTCGCTCCGCAATTCATTCAACAGGTCGGCCGCCAAAGTGTCCCCGGCCCCGTGGGATAAGAGGAACGCAGTGGGGGACAGCCGGAAAGCCTCAACGGTAGCAGTCCAGCTCTCTCCGCCTCTTGACCCCATAGCGAAAACTGGGAGACAGGTAAGGAAAAAAAAAGGCAAAATCAGAGATTGTTACAGGAAGGAAGCTAGCAGGTCTCTGCTAAAAGTACAGGCAGTCCTCAACTTACAACGGTCTGTTTAGTGACCGTCTGAAGTTACGGCGACCCTGAAGTGACTTATGACCGTTTTTCAGAGTTACGACCTTTGCAGCACCCTTATGACGTGATCGAAAATTCAGACGCTTGGCCACTGGTTCGTACTTATGACCGTCGCACTGTCCCTGGAGTCATGTGATCCACATTTGCGACCATCAGATGCTTGGCAACTGACTCACATTTATGTCCAGACGCGTGATTCCCTTTTGCGACCTTCGGACAAGCAAAGTCAATGAGGAAAGGCAGATTCACTGAACCACCGGGTTACTCGCTTATCAACTTGCAAGTGATTCGCTTAACAACGGTTGCAAAGAAAGGTCATCAAACGGGGTGAAAAACTCAATGCATGTCTCACTTCACATTGAAAGGTTGGGCTCCGTCGTGGTCATAAATCGAGGACTACCGATGGTCGGTTTGGGATCCGATCCAGCCAGCAAATTTCAATGCCAGGACACTGAAATGTCCTACTTGAAGGTGGCCCAGTGGCTAAGACGAGTTGAAGACGCTTTTGTTTCATCAAGCTGGCCTCGCCTAAATCTCCTCCTTTCTAAAGTGTAAATTTTAAATTTTAATGGATTTTAAAATATGGGTATTTTAAATTGGGTATTAATTCAGCCAAATTTATTTAATTCATTTTATTCGATTTTAAATTTTGTATATCTATGTGTTTTATTTCATGGCTGTGCACCGCCCTGAGTCCTTCGGGAGTAGGGCGGTATAGAAATTCAATAAATAAAATAAAATAAAAAAAATAAGACGCTGAGCTCGTCCATTAGAAAGGTCGGCAGTTCAGCAGTTTGAATCCCTAGTACAGGTCTCTTGCATGGAGCAGGGGGTTGGACTAGATGACCTCCAAGGTCCCTTCCAACACTGTTACTGTTGTTATTATTATTGGTTAATCTTTAGTGAGATTCACAGCCTTTGAGGCTGGTTAATAGATCAGCAGCTAGAGTCCTAACCAAGGACCTAATTATTATTATTTTTATAATTATAATTATAATATAATAATTAATTATTATATAATAATTAATTATAAAATATTATTATTATTATTAGTAGTAGTAGTAGTAATCTCGCTTCGGATTTGTTTGCGCGGACGATCGACTACTAGATTGCGCAAGGGAGGGAGTCGATCGCGGGAGATCCGCGCGTGCGCCCCGGAGGGATCCAGCAGCTGGACAAACCCCCCACCACCACCCCCGGAGGCGCCCGCGGGCGCCCAAGGTTTCTCCTGTGTTCCCAAGCAAATGCAACCCAGGTTCTGGAGCGGCTGGTAGGAGCGACAGGTGGGCCAGGTGAGCCCAGGGTCTCTCCCCCACTGCCCTGCCCCCTCCCCAAGCCCCTTCCCCGGTTTCAGACCCATCCCTCGCTTCTCTGGACCCCACCCAAGGTCGGGGGGGGGTTGGTGGATCCCGGGACAGAAATCTGCAAATTTCCAAAGGCTTTGCTCGCCTTTGCAATGTAGCCCCCGGCCCGGGAAGACCCCCGAGGCCTGCAGACGCCTCCCGGGCCCTTGATGCACCGAGGCCAGGCTGCTTTCCTCGCCCCCCGCCCCCCAAAAGCCCCCCCAACCCCCCCCAATCTCGACCTGGCCGCCGCTGCTCGCTTGCAGATCACTACCGCCTCCGCCGTCGCTTCCGTGTTCTTCCGCAGTGGCCGCCAGAGGGCGCGCGAGGAACGGAGAACCCGGCCAAGTGAGATTTCCCACGCAGGAATTAATTCAGATTTAAAAAAAATAAAAATTAAATTTAAATTATTTTTTTAAATAAATAAAGAGAATTTAGTGGTTCCCGCGGCATCCGTTGCTCCTTGAAAAGGAGATGAAAAATGTGATTAAGAAAATATTGCAATGACTAGGAATACTAATAATAATAATGAATATGAACACACCTGTAATTAAAGGAAAGGAGGAATCTGATTTATAGTTTTATATGGGAGTTATTTGATCAATGGTTTAGGGAATAAATAGGCAAATTAGAAATAAAAGCCGAGGAGTGAAATAATCGAAAACGTATTACAAAGTCAAATAAACTAAGAAGGGAAATGTTATAATAGGAGATATGTTATTATAATGTTATTATATATTTATATTATATATTTTTATTTATTTATTTATTTATTATATTTCTATACCGCCTTTCTCCCGTAGGACTCAAGGCGGTGTACAGTCAAGAAAAATATAGATACACAAACATCACAAAATATATTATATGTATGTAATATATATATAATATACATATATTATAAGTTATTATATATTTATATTATATGTTATTATATATTTATATTATATATATATATTATGTTATTATATGTTATTATGTATTAGTATTAATGCCGAGAATAGATATACATAATGAACATGGTTGATTTTTAATGGTTAAATCGATTTTAATGGTAATTGCACAAAAACTGTGTATCCAGATGACATTCATGTTTAATGAAAGATGAAATGTTTGTATTAAAAGAAAACTAAAAATTAAAAAAAAAAAGAAAAGAAAAAAAGGCATCGCTTGGGGGCACCAACGCGGCCTGAATGTATGAATACAGGCAGTCCTCGACTTATGACCACAATTAAGCCCAACATTTCTGTTGTTAAGTGAAAAATGTGTTAAAATGACTTTGGCCCTGTTTTACTCTTCTTCACTGAATCCCAGCAGTCGATAAGCGAATAATCCGATGGTTAAGTGAATTTGGACTTCTTCCTCCTTGACTTGGCTAGTCAGAAGGTTGCCAAAGCGGATGGGACCTTGGGACACCGGCCACCGTTGTAAATATGAGTCAGCGGCCAAGCGTCTGAATTTTGATCGCGTGACCGCGGGGCCTGACTAGGTGGCTCAGTGGATAAGACGCCGAGCTTGTCGATCAGAAAGGTCGGCAGTTCCGGCGGTTCGAATCCCTAGTACAGATCTCCTGCGTGGAGCAGGGGGTTGGACTGGATGACCTCCAAGGTCCCTTCCCACTCGGTTACTGTTACTGGATGCTGCAATGGTCGTAAGTGTGAAAAAATGGTCGTAAGTCCCTTTTTCCCCCAGTGCCGTCGTAACTTTGAACGGTTACTAAATGAAAGTCGAGGACTACCTGTATTTCAGGTGGAGTTAGATAAATATTAAATCGGTTACTTTGCAACCTCAACTTCAGAAAAAAGGCTTCCCAGCTCATTAAGAGGATAATGTATGTATGAAGCCTTTTTTGAGAGTCATCTCTATGCTGGCCTTAAAACCGTAATAATCTCTTTATTCCTTCACTTCCCAGTTTGCATCTTATAAGGATACTGTTTTTGAATGCCACGCCTCTGTTTATTTCTTGCTGGAAAATATTCTGCCATATTTTAATCCGTTTCAGACTTTGCCCCATTAGGTTTCAGGCGTGAAAGTAACTGCTTTGCAACCCAGAAACCAGACATTGCTCTAAACCAGTGTTTCTCAGTCTTGGAAGCTTGAAGATGGATGGACTTCAACTCCCAGAATCCCCCAGCCAGCAGCGCTGGCTGGGGGATTCTGGGAGTTGAAGTCCACCCATCTTCAAGCTACCCAAGGTTGAGAAACACTGCTCCAAACCACTGGTGGTTTAACTGTGGTCTGTTGAGCAAACCCCCATTTGACTGGGTTACCCGAATGTCCTGGATCTGGATAGCAGCCCTCGACATACAAGGGTTTGTTTAGCGATGGTTATAAGTCAGTGATGGCCAACCATTTTGGCCCAAACCAGAATGTGTGTCCATGTCCATGGGAGACCAGCTGGCTGGCGTGGGCATGCCTATTTTTGGGCCGTTTTGGGGCTGTTTTCAGGCTGTTTTTGAAAAAACAGCCTGAAAATAGCCTGAAAAACGGCCTGGTTTTTTGGCTGGATTTGGCCATTTTTGGGGCCATTTTCCGGCTGTTTTCCGGTGCTCCAGCACCCACAAAAATCAGCTGGCTGGTGCACACATGCCTGTTTTTTGGCCATTTTTCGGGCCGTTTTCAGGCTGTTTTCCAGGCCATTTCCAGGCCATTTTTGGGCCATTTTTCAGGCTGTTCTTGGGTCGTTTTTTGGTCTGTTTTAGGCTGTTTTCCGGGCTGTTTTCTGGGCCACTTTCAAAAAACGGCCTGAAAATAGCCCAAAAAATGGCCTGTTTTTTTGGCCGGATTTGGCCATTTTTCGAGCCATTTTCCAGTTGTTTTCCGGTGCTCCAGTGCCTGCAAAATCAGCTAGCTGGTGCACACATGCCTGATTTTTGGCCGTTTTTGGCCATTTCTCGGGCTGTTTATCAGGCTGTTTTCAAGGCCATTTTCAGGCCATTTTTTGGACTATTTTCAGGCCATTTTTCAGGCTGTTCTTGGGTCATTTTTTGGTCTGTTTTTACGCTGTTTTCCGGGCCGTTTTCTGGGCCATTTTTCGAAAAACTGCATGAAAATAGCCTGAAAAATGGCCTGTTTTTTCGGCTAGATTTTGCCATTTTTCAAGCCATTTTCTGGCTGTTTTCCGGTGCTCCAGTGCCCGCAAAGACCAGCTGGCCGGTGCAGACATGCCTGATTTTTGGCTGTTTTTGGCCATTTCTCGGGCTATTTTCATACTGTTTTTTTGGGCCGTTTTTAGTCTGTTTTCCAGGCCATTTTTGGGCTGTATTTCGGGCCATTTTCCAGGCCATTCTCAGGTCGTTTTTCGGGTCATTTTCGGGCCGTTTTTCAAGGCTCCAGTGCCCGCAAAGACCAGCTGGCTGGCACGCACATGCCTGTTTTGGGGCCGTTTTCCAGGCCATTTTCAGGCCATTTTTCAGGCCATTTTTCAGGCCAGTCTTGGGTCATTTTTTGGGCCGTTTTCAGGCCGTTTTTCGAAAAATGGCCTGAAAATGGCCTGAAAATAGCCTGAAAAAAAGCCTGTTTTTTGGTTGG